TGTAATTTGGGTGATTGTTAAGTGCGAATGTGAAATAAAATTCGCTACATAAAATACGGCGTGAAGTTATTTGTTGCGTTATACGCCCGATACGCGACAATATTGAATAAGCAGTAGCGGGCAGCCGACAGGGGGTGAAAGGAGGTTGGAGAATACTGCAGAATGAGGAGCTTCATGTGTACTCTTTGCCAAGTACGAGTATAATCAGAAGGCCCAAGTGAATGAGGAAGAGATGGGTAGGGCTAATGGGGGAGAACACGAATGTCCACATATAGAGGACACTGATGGGAAAGCTAGAATGAAAGAGACCACTATGAAAACCATGATGTAGGCAGGTGGATAATATTAAAATGGATCCTAGACAGATAACATGAGGTTGTATGCAATGGATTGATCTGGCTCAGGATAGGTGAACACAGTAATGAACCTTCTGATTCCGTTCTTGAGTAGCTGCAAAACTGGCGGCTTCTTAAAAAGGGCTCAGTTCCATGAAGTTAATTACTAGGATAGGTGCACTAGGCCTCTCAAATCCTGAGTTAACAAGGCAATGAATAATTTTGCCACCCTGATCTTGTGACGCACTGGTTTGTACTTCATTCTTAGAAGGTCATCTTATCTAATATCACTTCACTCATCTATCAGAAGAAAGTTTCTCAGCAGTGCGCATTTCATTTACATCAATCCAAAATACCCTTGCTGAAATGCACCAGACATGTGATCTTTAACATACATATAAGACATTTATAAGTTTTAGGAACGTTGAAGTTGGATGAACTTGAATGAAAAGTCTGTTTCCATCAGAGTTATTTGTATTAAACCTCACAACTTTGTTCCCAACTTACACTTGCAACCTATATAAAACATAGCTTTTCAGCTACATTAATATATTATAAATTATGTATATATAATTAGAGGTTTACACATATTTTAACTGCAGTAGTATGATGAAACTCAAGAATCTCAAACACACTCGTTAACAAGATAAATATTGAGTATAATAATATATAAAAGGCAAAAATATAATTGCAGAACTATGAGAAACCTTATGAATCTATAATATAATCATGTTGAAAAGTTTAATATTGATGGAATAATGTAAGCAAACTGATAAAATAATGAATTAATATTAGGAACCTTAGAAATCTTACATATACTCCTCATGTTTACAAGTTCAATACAGAATACGCTACCTGGGACCAGCTGCATGTAGCTATTCAAAATAGCAAGTGTATATATGGGGTTTGCATGACACTACCCATTATGCAATTTTTCAGTTGAAATTTTGGAACATTACAAGTATTTGATGATAAAAGAACAACTAAACTATAAAGAAAATACTGACAATGTTTTATCACATTTTATTTCTACCATTTACAACACACATAATATACTTCACAATATGCAATATTATTTTAAAAAATTGTTATTAATAAAACTTAACTCTTTTGCTGAAATGCTGCAACCATAATACATAATATGAGGAAGAAGAGAAATAGTGACAGTTTAGAATTAATTAATTTGAAACAATGGGACTTACAAATATTTCCAGTTCTAATTAGGTAAAGACTTTCACATGAAGAACAGAAGACCATATTAGTTCCACTTCACAGTTCTTATTGCATCCATTGCAATTTGCAATAGTCCAATAAGACAGATACATGTACATTCTTCCATAACCACATTTTTAAGCAATGGATCCCAAAATAATAATAATCTGCACACTGGCAAGTCTCCCAGAAAAGAGACACCAGTTTCAGCACTGCATCTTTGCACATTTGGGTAACATCAGAAACAGACTCTAATAACATTCTCCACCATTATCATAACTTATGAAGGCCATAGAAGGTTGGCAATGCGAGGTGTCAAGAGGCCCAATACAACTGTGGAGATCAGGTTAACACTGTGGTTGTCCAATAGTTGTACCCCACTGATATGGCGAATACCTTTCCCAGCATGTTCCACAATACAGCCAGTCCGCTCATCTATACCTGAAACAAAATGAACCCTTCAAAATATAATCCTCCACCATGCAGGTAAAAACCACATTGGCAAGACCACAACCATCATCACAAAAACAAAAATCCTCATTTCTTTCTTGTATCCTACAGATACGAGTCTCCAGAAACCTCCCTTCCAGTGATGTAGTGGAGAGTATACAGTGGTATATGCCACACACACTCTGCTTCTTTTCAAATGAGTACAGCATACAACAGACAGTGTATAATGTTATATTTTAGCTTCCTGTTGCACTGATTCACGTTCATTATGTGTATTTGTACCAACCAAAAATTAGATGGGCACTAGGTACCTTCAAACAATTTAAATCAGCAGGAACAGATGAAACAATACTGGGACTTTTACAAGGGGGGACCCAAAAATAACTGGAACCGACCTGTTGCGCGCGCATGCTTTGTAGTTACGAGTTGTGCTGCTAGGTGGTGTTAGCTGGGGGTCTCCCGCGACTGTTAGTGAGCTGGCATCAGTCTGAGTTAAGTGGTTTGTCTGTGGTGCTCTGTTGTGTGCGTTCCTGTTTCAACCCTTTGGCGATTAGTGAGATGGCCGACCAGAAGGAACAAAGAGTGTGCGTGAAATTCTGGATCGTTCTGCACTTCACTCTTCAAGTCGCGGCAAACATTCACGCGGTTTTCTCTTTGGTCATCTCCGAGCAAGCGAGGAACAAATTTTGCAGACACCCGTCTCATGTGCAAACCTTCGGTTAAAATTCGCTGGACCGTGCTCCATGAGATGTTCGTTTCCTCAGAAAGTTGGTCAATGGTCTTTCGACGATCTTCATCAATTGCACGTTTGATTTTGGCAATGTTTTCGTCATTTCTTCCTGTCGAAGGACGCCCGGGGCGTGGCATGTCTTCTGTTGACATGTTGCCAGATTTGAAACGGGAAAACCACTCGTAGACCTGTGATTTCCCCAAAGCATCATCATTAAAGGCTTGCCGAAGCATCCCAACAGTCTCGGCTGCAGTTTTCCCTAACAGAAAGCAAAATTTCACGCGCACTCTTTGTTCCTTCTGGTCGGCCATCTCACTAATCGCCAAAGGGTTGAAACAGGAACGCACACAACAGAGCACCACAGACAAACCACTTAACTCAGACTGATGCCAGCTCACTAACAGTCGCGGGAGACCCCCAGCTAACACCACCTAGCAGCACAACTCGTAACTACAAACCATGCGCACTTGCGTGCGCAACAGGTCGGTTCCGGTTATTTTTGGGTCCCCCTTCGTACAGCAATGGGTGGAATAGTTAGTTCCATACCTTTTCCACATATTTGGAGCCTGCCTGGTATATGCATTTGTTCCTATGGCCTAGAGGCAGGTTAAAGTGACGTTTATTCCAAAGCCCAGGAAATCAGAATATACTGAGGCTAACGCATATCATCCAGTCAGCCTGACTTTTCTTTTGAAGATGGAGAAATTGGTGGATAGACATATGAGGGGTGGTGTACTAAAGGAGCATTCTCTACACCAAAACCCACATGCATATCAAATTGGTAGGTCGACTGAGAATGAACTTTCACCGTGTGGTATCACACACAGAAAGTACTATTAAATGCAAGGAAATCAGCCTAGGAGCATTCCTTGACAAAGCGAGAGCTTTTGGTAGAGCCTCAATTGATGTAATAACACAGGCTCCTGAAAGGCATGACACTGAGCCCTCTATTTGCAGGTGGATCAGTTCTATGCTGAAAAGCAGAAACATAATAACTGTACATGGTTGGGAGAAACCATGTACATGTCCGCTGCTAGGGGATGTACACAGGGAGGTGTGTTCTTGCTTCTGCTGTAGAACCTGGTCATGAATGAGCTTCTTTGGGAGATAATTAACGATTATTACACAGTAGAATATACAGATGATACTGCAATCCCAGTCAACAGAAAATTCCTTCAGACTGCATCAGAGGTCTCAGAAACAGCTCTAGGCATATGCCAGCAGTGGTGCGATAGGACAAAACTGTCTGCCAACCCCAATAAGATGGTGATAATACCTTTTGCTAAAAAGGGGGAAATTAGGGGACTTACGGAACCAACCTTCTTCAATAATACATTCCAGCTATCCAGCGAGGTCAAGTACCTTGGACTAACACTGGACAAAGCGGCCTCCGTAGTCTAGAGGTAACGTTCCCACCTCATGACTCGTGGTACGCGGGTTCAAATACCCGGCAGAGGTCATCGAATTTTTAAGCGCGGAAAAATTCAGGGAACAAGTCCTCCGGGAGGGACTTTAAGCTGTGTGTCCTGTGTCGTAACTTTACAGCACGTAAAAGAACCTCATATCCCCAAAGGGGATCACTGAGCCAAATTCCAGGACGTTTCCCGCCCAACAATAGTCTCTAAGGCCTCTGATAGATGGGGGGAGCATTATAGATACCGCTAAGCAAGTGGCCGAACTCGCTTGCTCGGCAGGACTGACGGTATGCACCCTTTATCAGTAGGGTATAGAGACTGGTAGAATATCATGGAGGGAAGCACAATAGATCAAACTGGTTGCGGTGCATGGGGAAACCCACCCTCTCTAAATAACTAACTAACTAACACTGGACAAGGGGGCTGACATGGGAAAAACAGAGGATAATGTAACCAATAAGGTCTACAGGGCATTCTGGCCACAGAGAGGTATGTTTGGAAAAATTTGGGGGCTGAAATCAAAGACTGTATACTGGATATACAAAGTGGTTGTAAGACCCACAGTTACCTGTGCTGACATACTGTGGTGGTCTGGAGTCAAATTCAGAACAAGCAGAGCTGAACTTCGCAAATTGCAAAGGATGGCCTGCTTGGGTATTGCTGAAGCCATGAGGACAGCTCCAACACCTGCAATTGAGGTTCTCCTTGGACTCTTCCCCTACACAGTTCTGTCAGGACCTCTCACTGTGAAAATCCCTTAGCTAACCCTCATAAGATGAAATGGAAAGTGCCAACATCTTTATCATGTGCAAAGCTTTCGGTTACGTGTGGATACTGTTAGGAGCCTAAGTACTGGATCTCATCTCCAAGCACTACTTTTCTGGGTCAGGTTATGTGACAGCAGGAAAATCAGATGATAACTCTTCTTTCTCTGCAATATGTACATTTACAATACTGGATTTACACTCCTTCAGCTGCGACACATTGCTTCAAACTAGGTTAGACAGGAGACCATGGTTCAGATTTTGAAATTCTTCCCTTGCTCTCAACTATTGAGCTATATGGTCTGGTTCTGAGAAAACATTAATTTGGATTCCTCTTACAGACTCCAGCCATGAAACCTAAGTTTTCAATAATCCCTTCTGCCACATTAAACCGTTACAACTCCTTGCTCAATGTTGAGTCCTACCTTCTTCCCACTCTATCTGCATCCTATTTTTACATAACATTAATTTATATACTTTCACATAAGTTGGCAATACTCTACATCACTACAAGATCATATTATATAGTGATGAATGTTGGAATGGTTAGTGAATAATGGATTGGAAAGGATATGGAAGGAAGAAATCAATGCCTAATTCACGATACTATCAAACAGTTCACATGGAGGAACTGGGCATGATTTGAGCTAATGGCCTCTTGAATAGAAGGGCAAAGTCCTATGCACTTGACCATTCTTGGTAACAAATTTCTCAGGTTTAAATAATATTTTTCAGAAATTTTATTTCTTTGAATTCTAATTTGTCTATGTGATACTGTATAAAATAATATTTAAGTTACAGAAGTTTGATAAACTTTTACTGTGTTTAAATCACCACTGTTCTTGTTAAAGAAAGTCATGCCCAGTTTAGTGGGAGATGCATAAAATTTAATGTGCAAGGAGTAAAGTATAAATATACTCCATCAAAATTCCCACATAAAGTTTGTATAAAAAAAAACCCTGACCTGAATACTGGAGGGTTGCTCCAAGGACGGAATCCACCAAGCTTCCAACAAGGCCAGCAAGAGATCCTGCAAACACCAGGGGCCACTGTGGTGGACTAGCTGCCAGAACGGTTGAATCAACGAAGTAAAGAACAGACAAATAGTATGACAGACCAACAACAGTTCCACCCAATAAACTGAACAGAAGACCAGGAATGGATACACCTCCATTAGTACCTGCAACAGCAGGAAACTTATAGTTCTGGCACATGACTAACTTGATGACATCAGTACTTGATTAGAAACAAGACCAAAAAGTCGTTACATTTCTTGGCTCTTCACTGTGGGTTGGCAAAAAGTACAGTTCATACTGATATAAGGCTGCCAGAGATACAAAACTATAGTCATATATGTAAGTTTTGAGGTTTTCACGGCGATGACTATGAAGAAAGTCGCTAGATCCCAGAAGACGACTTTCTTCATAGTCATATATGTTTTTGTCTCTAGACTGCAAAGCATGACTGTGATCTTGTAGGTGATTTCAGAAATCGGTATTTAATGGACTTCTTTACCCAGAACTTATATTTTATTCTGACAAGACATGGTTCACTTTCGGTGGTTATATAAACATCCACAAAAAACATATACTGGAATGCAGAAAACCCTCATGCTATTCAAGAAGTGTCAATGCAAGATTTAAAACTTGGGGTTTGGTGTGCAATTTGTGATTGCATAATTGGGCCAATATTTTTTTCATGCAGCAGTAATTCTGAACGTTATGTGAGATTTTTTCTGCTACCTTACTGTCTAAAAGTTCTGGTGCATACTTTACGTGAGGAAAATCAGTGCTTTTGGACTCTGGGAAGAGGATACCACGATTAATAATGGTACACTGAGATTTTAAACAAACTGAATGTCATACCCAAGAATCTCCTCTGCAACAATTCCCAGTTTCACATCAGCCTGCACACACAGTGATGGGCTAGACAACGTCTTTAATCCTCCTTCAATGGAAGATCTTGCCCCTTACATTACCAATCCTCTCTGGCTAAATACCAGACAGATTACATAGGCAATAGTTTAAAAATAACAGTCATGCGATGAAGCATGTTGGTGATATGGGGTTTTATGTTATTCAGCACCTTGTTGAAGGTTGATGAGAGTGCTCTTCAGTTGATAAGGGCTTTGTGAAAAACAGTCTTATGTTAGTTACATACATAAGCATCTTCCCTGTAAAAATCACTGTAATCTCAATTATGCTGAGACGCATTACTTTCCTACCGACGACATATATGCCAGTCTTCATCGAGCACACATAACCAATCAAAATAAAGTGCAGTGGAAATTTACTTTCTATACCACCACAAATTTGCTGCTTTGGTTCCTTGTAGCAGTAGCAATAATATTCATGTGAGATTAAAACCATTAACAAAGGACCATGAAAGCATTAGAGCAGCACATGTTCTTACCCTTGGGTACCCTTTGCCTGCTGGTTATGAGGAATGGCTCTGTCTGACTAACAACTGTCCCCAGTTCTGAAGCCCAAGTATCACCACTGCTGCATGCCAAGGCACCTGGAGACATAAAAATGGTTCAAAACACCTGTTCAGAATTTAACTACTCACCCATTTGTCCATTATTTTTAATAAGAACTAAATATCCAATTTAACTCTTCTTATGCTCAGTGAGAAAATACATGTATGTGTCAGCAACACAGTCAGATGACATGCTTACAGCCTTAAACGTTTGAAATTACATATCAATTTTCATTCACCATAGTTAAATATAGAAATATTTATGGCAAGTGATTTCTTTATTGCAATATCCAATGTGACAAACATTTCAGTCCAATAAGAAGAAGGAAAAAAAGGACTGTTGGTACTTGTTACTGGCATGTTGACTATTTCTATATCCATTGGTCTTTAACCATGTAAGGATTTATGGAATGCTGAAAAAATGAATGAATGTCCTGTCTAAGAGAACAAAAATGTTAAAACTTTGTGACATATAACTCAAATGTTAGCCACAAAGAGCATGATTCCCTGTAAACAAAAACAAAGTAGAAAAACAACACATTCTGGGCACATATCACAAGTTACTACAATTATAGAAGGTATAAATCTGGTTGGGGCACGTGGTAGTGTAGTGGTTAAGGCACTATGCTACAAGTTGGAAGGTCGCGGGTTCAAATACCAATGATGTCATTGGATTTTTTCAATTGACCTAATCCTTCTGGCCGCACTATGGTCCTGGGGTTCACTCAGACTCTAACAGAAATGAGTACCAGGAATTAAATAAATAATTTTCCTGGGGAGTAAAGCGCGGCTGGCACGTAGGGCTGACAACCTTACCGCCATCTTTGAGCCGATTGTCTAGATAGTGTGGGACCCTCAACATCTCACAACCCTATGGGCCTTCAGGGCCTGTTACAGGGATAGATTTGCTTTACTTTACTTTACTTTCTTTTTAAAAATCTAGTTACTGCTAGCATGCACCAATATGAGAAAAAAATGTAAGAAAAATATTTATTCCCCCACATTTGAAAAACAGGCATCAATCCAACTGAATTCCAAAAATTCAAACAGAAGATGTTATGAAATTCAACAAAACAGTATATATTTCAGCATTATCAGTCAAGTACTGTCATGTTAGCTAATTTCACTCAACTATCACCTGCAGAGTTGAATGGTTTTAACTGTTATCAGTCATATTTTATATATTTATTTTCCAAATTCTAGAAGCACATGAGATAAAAACATTCATAACACCTGAAATTTCAAAGTAATAACTGTGAGATAATGTACAAGTATGTATCATCACTATATGAAGATCTTACATACACAGTCAAAATACTATTATTTCAATTGTTCTACATGTTCTAAAGCTACCAAAACCTCAGAACTTACCCAAAACTCCAAGACTTAACCAGGAAGCTCGATAATCTTTCACGAAGTTTGCTGGTCGCTCCCCACAGCCTGAATCTAGCATGTACAAGAAAGCCAACTGCGCTGCCATGCCACCATTACTTAGCACTTGAATCCATGTTCTCTGGCCACCTGTTCAGATTAATATTGTCACGTGTTGGGGTTTCATTTATTGCACATTATACATTCACACACTTCAGGAATACAGGCAATTAAAGCACTATCGCTATTCTACACACTTTCCAGTTCACTGCTGCACATGCATTAGGGTCCTCGGTCTTCACTAGTCATATCCACGCAACAGATTTAAAACTGTCTCACTGTAACTCCAACTCACACATGAAGCCTTCTTGGTACAGCCTAATTCTTTTCTTGTCATTTCTTCTCGGTCACCTTTGACTGTCATCTCCAGAACTCAACCCAATTCCTCTGATTATTGTTCTATACTCCATCCCATCTTCTGATATGGCCCTTTTATAACACCTCATCACTGAGCCCACGGAAAACACCATCTTCTATTGATGATGCGTGCTTACTGGTTTGTTACCTGGCAACTGATGTCGTCATATTGTCAAGTATGTGTGTGCTGTGGGAATGTGTTTACCAACCCACTGCCTAGCATGGGTATACGTCACAATATTATGCTGAAAATCAATGATGAATCTGACTACATAAAAGAGTGAAAAACTCTTTTCACATAAGCAGTAAAACGTCAATTCTATGAAGCTTAAAAAACTGTAATTTTAAATAATTTTGAAGGAAAAAATGAAATAAAGAACTTGTGGCTAAACAATCTCTTAATACTTTTTGATTTATTAATGTAATATGAAGAATTTTACAGTTTCATTATTAATGACAGTTATTACTTGCTAACACTTCCTTCTTTTTTGTAACAACTAATGACATATTCTGTCTTAGAGCAGAGTTCAGATTACCTGACATTCTGCCGTATCTCACGTAGCCATCCGACATGCCACTTACAGCGTTGTGCTGCATGCAAACAACAGGCATGAAAAATTTTTCCCATCCTTATAATACGAGTAAAATGAATTCTTCAAATTGCTGTGTCTTTACCTTCCTTGAAGCCCTCTTCTATTTTACGTTTCTGCTCACTTCGGAACTTTGTAACTTTGGATGATGTCACAAAGAACGTCAAGAGACAGATAAGAAACGAGTAGCTGGTCAGAGTCAGCACAAATCCAATAAAGAAGCCTGAAATAATGATCAAGGCTAGAAAATCAAATTAGGTACAGTTTATAATGAAGCTCACACACCACAAACCAAATGAGAGATATACGAATCCTGGGGGTCTTTTCATTCCTATTTTGTATTATGTCTCTTTGAACTGAATTCATCAGAAATAATCTATACAAAGCAACTGTTTGCTAACCAAAAGTATATAATCTTTCATTATATACAGCCTTCAATTCACTTGCAACGTTGCCCAAATAAGTGGAGAAGTATGTATGTATGCATGTATAAACTCATTTTGCTGCATTTCATATTCATCAGACTTGTACCACTCTATTCCCAAGCTAAAAGACATTCTGGTGGATTTGTTGGGTTCACTGGAAAAGCCACAGCACATTCTGACAATGCTATAAAATGTTACACCAGCACAAAAACACACACTAGTATACAGACAAAACATGCATTAATGGCACTGATAAGAGATAGTGATGGATGATTATCAACACAATGTAGTATAAGGTGCTAATTTATTTTGCAAATTGATAAAAGTGTATTTATATATTAATATATATATATTGTGACATGTTGCGCAACAGAGAACCCCCCCCCAGCAGTGACGCGGCGGGTGAGTCAGCGCTCNGATGTGGCACGCAACAGGCAAGCACTGCGGCTATATAAGGGAACTGCACAGCAGCTACGAGTTAGTTATAATGTGGCCATCGCCGAGCTCAGTTCCGAGCTAGTTCCGAGCAAGCCTACGAGTCAGTGTGTGATCAACAGTTCTCGAGGTACCAGCCTGCGAGTCGAGTTGACATATACCAGCCGTCGCGATGAGAAGAACCGGACGTGTGTGTAATTGTGTAATTGGGAGCGTGTGATACAGTGATACCTAGCTCCCCTACTGTATACGTGTGGACCACTGAACACAGAGCGAACTGATTTGCGCATAGGGTTATAAAGTGTGAAACCCCGCAACAGTGTCGACAGATTAATGCGATTAGGGTTATAAAGTGTGAAAACCCGCAACTGTGTTATAATTAATTGTAGCCGTGATTTGTAGGTTGTTAAATAAACCAATTAACGATCTCTACGGCGTATTCAGTAACGAAACACGTTACAATATATAATATCATCTCCCTATGCATATTTTTTTTACTGCATGAAATTACCGATGCACAGGGGATTAGATGAAGAAATAAAATTAATTAATTCACACAGAGACATGCTCAACTTGGCAAGTTGTTCTTTCAAATAAAGAAATCAGTTCTATCTTCCACATTCTGTGTTCTGTTTGTACTTGAAATGTGGTAAATAAGTTGTGGCTACTTTGTATGTATATGTGTGCATAAATAATTAGTGTGTGCCAATGAGAACTCTGAAAAACATGCAAAAATTTGGAGGAAAAAACTGCATCACAAATCAATATAAATAGCAATATTTTTTCTGCATGCTAAGTGTGATCATCTCACGTTTATACCATTAAAATGGTTACTAATATTTTTCCAAACCCCTTTAAAAATGCTGGCACAAGGTAAGGTAGTCATTTTAATGGCTTCAGGCTCAAAGAGTTAACAAGTTAAGAATTGTACACAAAACATAACTCTGTCGCTCCCTTTTTTAACTACTCTAAAACCTGTAAGATTTAAAGTAAAAGCACACTGTTCATAAAATACAAGGTGTGTCCCAAAAGTCATGAAATATATATATATATTTTTTAAATTTATTGATGATATCGGTACAAAGTGTTAATATTCTTCAAAGTAATGTCCATGAGCACCTACACATTTTTTCCGACTCTCCCATGCCCGGTACGCCCCCTCAAAGTCCTCAATAGGAACCTCATTTAAAGCTGTTGTCACGGCCGCTTGGATAGCCTGAATGCTTTCAAAACAGCGTCCTTTGAGTGCAGAACAAAAAGAAGTCGGCCGGATCTAGGTCGGGGCTGTAGGGTGGCAGCGGCAGCTCTTCCGTCAACAATTTGGGGACCAGCTTGGCGCACACCTTTCGCATGCTCAATTCGTCCATAACGATTCGATGCACAATGGTTTTTGGAATGTTCAGAGTGTCGGCTAACACGGCTAACAACCGGACAGTCATTCGACGGTCAGTATTCAACAAATCACGCACACGAGTCATTTCCATCGGTTTGGCTTGTTGATGGCCGTCCAGAGCGGGGGTCATCTTCCACTCTTTCCTGGCCCTCCTTAAACTTCTTCACCCACCTTGTAACTTGCACATATGATAGAGCAGACTCCCCGTAGGCTTGCTTAAGCAGTTCGTGAGTTTCGGCAGCTATTTTGTTGAGCTTCGTGCAGAACTTGACCGCCCAACATTGTTCAAAAGTATCTGCCATCGTGCGCCGTGACATGGTCACAAAACACAGGTGCACTAAATTAGCAATACTGACGCCTCCGATGCTCAAGCAGACTGACCTTGGGCACGCTGTGAAGCTAAAGGCCTCCCCCCCTAACGCAACCGGTTCCAGCACGCTCCGACCAGTAGGAGCGCGGGAAAGAAATATATTTCATGTCTTTTGGGACACACCTTGTATGTTTCACTTTTCTCACTACTGCCATTAAAAATGTTTCCTGTTCTATTAAGCATTTAAAAAAAACAATACACAATTATGTAGGTCTTCCATAAATTGTCCATTATTCATGGCCAATTTAACAAATTTTTGAAAGTGTACACAAACAGCAGTAAAAGTATCAAATATCAAATTTATAACCCCTTCAACAGTTCTTGAGTCATTATATGCAACCAGATGGGCTGACAGACACAGTGAAACTAATGGGTGCATGTTTTGCAACTTTTTATTCTGAACATGACAAAAAGACAATAAAAAAGGAGACAGATTAAATTTGAAAGAATAGTTGTAACAGTACATTGAATTACATCTCCCATAAATTCAGATTATAGGAAGATTTGTTTAATTATTACCAATAATATGAGATTATAGTAACATTCACACTTGTATGAAAACATAACAATGCAGGTGTGTTCACTGACTTTCATTTGATTACCTCTAAAACCATAATACCTAAAGAGAAATCTGTTCAACATGAAATCTGTTTCACTTTTCTCTACAACTTAAACTGAAAACATTTTCTCTGTATTTACTGAGTAATGACTGAGATGCACGTAGCTCAGCTTGAGAAGTGTCCACTACCTTGGTCCAATTATAATGTAAGCTGGAATCACAAAGTTAATAGAGTCTGTCGAGTGTAACAATTTGTAGGTCACTTTTTATTATTATATCTGCCTGATATAATATATATATATATATATATATATTATATCCCCTCGTTGGTGTCTCCACCTTATCGTGGTGAGG